GTGGAGCGCCTTACCCCATATATTTGCAAACAAAGCACAAGATTCCGAGAAGCGATTTCGGTAGGCGAAAGATTGGCAGTAACTTTACGTTACTTAGCAACAGGCGATAGCTTCTCCAGTCTGATGACTGTTTTCCTAATGGGGAAAAGACAATTTGCCATGTAATACATGAAACATGTGGTGCTATTTTCGAGCCTTTGAAAGACGAATTTCTAAAGGTAAGTTTTTAAATTATTAAATGAAAATGAGAAATGCGAAATGTGTATAAGAACATTTGATATTTTTTCTTAAGGTTCCGAGTACTCCTGGACAATGGACAATGGTTGCTGACCGTTTTGAGCAACGATGGAATTTCCCTAATTACTATGGGGCATTAGATGGAAAGCACATAGCGATTCAAGCACCTGATAACTGTGGTTCGGAGTATTTCAACTACAAAAAATTTAATAGCATTGTCCTAATGGCTATGGAAGATGCGGACTACAAATTTTTGTTTGTAGAAGTCGGGGCATATGGTCGCGAATCTGATGGAGGAGTTTTCGCACGGTAAGATTTCTCCAATATCTTGCTTAATAACCTTAACATTTCTACATTGGGATTTGAAATGATTTCATTTCAGATGACCTCTTTCAGCAGCTCTTGCTGATAATACCATTAATTTCCCGGCTCCGAGGCCACTTCCACATGAAGGAGACCCTATGCCATTTGTCATAGTAGCTGATGCCGCTTTTCCTTTAAAGCCGTATTTGCTGAAACCCTTCTCTTATCCTGAGCAAGTTATGTCCCACAAAATTTTCAACTACAGACTATCGCGAGCAAGGAATGTAGTTGAGAATGTGTTCGGCATAAGTGCAGCGCGATTCAGAATACTTAGAAGACCAATGGACGTAAAACCAGGGTGCGCGAAAGCTATTGTCCTCACGATTTTTGTTTTGCATAATTTTTTATTAACACGTAAACCATTATATATTCGAAGCTTAGACGTTGACGATGATGGCATCGTTGTACGCGGTAACTGGAGAAATGAGTTGGGAGAAAATGGAATGGGTAGGCCAGCGGACAATGCAATGAATGTACGTGAAAATTTTATGGAGTTCTTCTTGACACCCCATGGATAATTTTTTTTTTGTTTTTTAGATTGGCGCTTACACATATGTTAGTGTTTGGCCGAGCCTCTCCTCCGATTTGTGGCGTGCGCCTTGATGTTGCACACAAATCGGAGGGACCTACAGTTTTACGCCGACTCCGAACGGCGATTGTATTTTTATGAGAAGCTATTTTTCATGGCAGAAATACACTCGGAGGTTTGCCATTGCCTGCCGAGGGACGACCGCTGTTAAGAAAAAACCTTTTTCTATATTTTTTACGATGTTGCTTTGACCAGGGCTTGAACCTAGGTGTTGACGAGTGAAAGCACTGCTTACCACTATACCACAGCGGCCCATGGATAACTACCATGACAATATAACAGAAATATCCTTCATAACTAGATTTCGTTCTTTTATCTAGATATATATGTATTTATGTCGCGGTAAAAATAAAAGCACTACAATTAAAAATAAAATTTTTTGCAACTTTGATTTATTTACTTATTTTAAATAATGTCTTTTTTAAATATAATTCCACCTATAAAAGAAACGACATAAATAAAAGTTGCAAAAAATATTATTTTTAATTGTGGTGGTATTATTTTTGCCGCAACTGTACCTGCAAATCAATTCAAAACTAAAGAACTTTACTTTTTATTAAATTTAGGAATTACTATGCGAACAAATGTTAGATAGGGCGTTTCTATATTTAGGTAACGATATCTAACTATATTTTTGTAAAACAAATCAACTTCCGCTTTGTATAGGCTGATTTTCATTAAGGAATATTCGCTGACTACATAACTGCCAGCGATGTCATTCTTCCAAAAAGTGTTTTCATTAATGCCATAAACTGACATGATACCGATTGAAAACTATTGACAACAGTTTTTGGAGTCAGTCGTCTGACATGCCGTTTCCACTACACATGGCAAAAATATTTTGTAAGAAGAAGACCCTGGCCAGCCGTTTGTGAGTTTGAAGTTTGAATAAAATAGATCGAAAGCAAATAAATAAAATGATTAAAAAGAAAATTGCAGTGGCCGGTGCGGCATTGTGTTTAATAATAACTTTGAAGGCATGGAGGAATAAAAAAAGTTAAAAGGCGCAAAAAGTGGTGGATACGACCGGGTTTGACCCTGAGAAAAATCAGTGGGTTTTATAGCAAACTTCGTTTGAAACTGCGGGAACAAGATCCCTTGTTGTTTCACAACTTTTTGCGGATGAACGTGGATGATTTCGATTTTTTGGCAAATCATTTGACTCGGCACATTGGAAAGAAAGACTCTCGATTAAGGGAATCCGTCTCAGTTGGAGAAAGATTGGCGGTAAACGATGCGATACTTAGCGACTGGTGATAGTTTTGTAAGTTTGATGTCTGTTTTTCTTTTGGGGAAAACAACAATTTGCAATATAATACGCGAAACCTGCGAGGCGATTTTCCGAACCCTAAAAGATGTTTTCTTAAAAGTATGTGGAGTTTTGTGTTTGCATTTACGATCTGAACAGAAAATGTTATATTTATTTTTTTTTGTTAAGATGCCAAATTCTCCCGGCGAATGGTTAGACATTGCAAACAAATTTGAAGAGAGATGGAACTTCCCGAATTGCTGCGGTGCACTAGACGGGAAACATATTATGATTGAAGCATCTCCTAATAGCGGCTCCGAATACTTCAATTATAAAAGCCACAACAGTATTGTATTAATGTAGGGCTGCCAGACGTCCCGGTTTTCCCGGACATGTCCCGGTTTTAGACTATTTGTCCCGGTGTCCCGGTCCAACCGTAAAATGTCCCGGGTTTCGTTTAAGTGTCCCGGTTTTCGATTTGATTGCACAAATTTTGAACAAAAATGACTACACTGAGAGAAACAACGCATTGTAATATTAAGAAAAATTTTATGAATTTACTGGGGTTAATAACGCATAGTAAACATGAATATTTTTTATTTGATTATCGTTTTAAAATGTTCGCATTTAAAAACAATACTTTCATACCACGAACACGTGGTGTTGAATCAAACTGAACATTTGAGAGCACATTTACATGTCTGGCTGTAGCTGAGTGCACGAAGATGCTTGCCACAATTTGCTAATTTCCAGAGCGTCAGGGTTCAAATACCATTACAGGCAGCATGGAATTTAAATATATTTTTTTTAACTTAATTATGAAAAAGCATCGGTTAAGTGCAAAGCGCTTCATTTTAATATTGGAGTATTTGAATTGAATATTTCTATACTAAATACTAAAATTTGTATACTTAAATTTATTACGAGTAGGGTTGGTACCCTTTCATATGAGATTTTTTTTTTAATTTAGCACGTTTTTAATTTTAGCACGAAACAAATAACTGATATTTTAATGTTACCTTGTATTTAATTTTTTTTCTTTCGTGAAACCTAGATTACTTATAAGTACCGTGCCGTACAAAATTATTGGCTCGGAGACTCTTTCATCAGATCACAATTTCTAATCAGATCTTTTAGAAAAATTTTGAAAATGTAGCTTTTGAGCCAATTAGTAAAGTGCAAGTCTGAAGTTACCAGAAAATTTCGTTGATTTTTTGCAATTATTTATTTTTTGCTGACAGTGTCTTCCACATACAAAAAAATGTCGAACATAAGTAGTTTGTATGGAAGAAACTCTCAGTAAAAAGAACACCAAAAATCAACAAAATTTTTATGGGCTGCAAAACTTCATTTTCAAAATTTTTATAAAAAAGTCTGAATAGAAAGTTGCGAATTTGTGTGCAAATTTATTGCATTTTCCCGAGTTTTGAACAAAGTTTAGAAATTTTATTTTTATGTTTTCTGATGTATTTAGTATAAACTGTATTTTTATAAGGAACAAAAAAGGTACATGCATTGTGAAAAATTCTCTGTGCTTTAGTTGTGATAAATTGTTTTGTTTTGCTGGTGTACGTTGTAATGATCTCATGATCTCATGTTTTTATATTTTTTTGTTTGTCAAAATAAAATTTTACTACATCCTTTCGTACGTAATTTTTGTCGAAACGAAAGGGAAGGGAGCGAGAGGCCTTTCCCACCCTTAAGTGTCCCGGTTTAGCAACAGAGATATCTGGGAGCCCTAATTAATGGCAATGGTAGACGCCGGTTATAGATTTTTGTTTGCTGAAGTTGGAGCGTACGGTCGTGAGACAGACGGAGGAGTTTTTGCAAGGTAAGATACCCGTAACGTACAAATTTTATAAAAGTGGTACCCATAAATTGCTTTTTGAAGTGAAACTTCTTTGGGTTCGGATAAAAAATCGCGCGATTTTTTATTAAAAATTTTCGCCTGCGGCGCTTTTCCCATAAAAATCAATACTTCGATAAATAATGAAAATTGTTTATAAAAAATCGCACTTCGTACAGCTAAAATAACTGTAAACCATAAAAGTAGCGCTGCCATGGTATAGCGAAATTTGCTATTATATTTTGGTTAGAATATCTTATTTAGGTGAAAGTAAAAAAAGAAGAAAAAGAAGAAGTGTATAGTGTAAACTGAGTATGTATAATAGCGCAAATGAAATGTGAAATAAGGTGGCAATACCGGCGATTTGAGGTTATAATAATTTTGGCAGGCGCAAAGTTTGTTTACTCTGTTTTATTAACGAAATATATAAAATAAAAGTGAATAAATGATTTGGTTTGCATAAAATAATAACCGGAGACGTTTTAATAGTGTTTTAAAAGTGGAAACTGGTGATTTAGTGCATTTTTGACGCGGTAATTGCTCATAGAAAACAACGAAATTTAACAAAAGTTTTTAGTTTATAACTTTTAAATGGTTAATAATATTAGCCCTCCCCCTACAGATTGTTAATAGGGGGGCCGAAACGCGTCGCTTGGTACCCCTCCCGACTTTGCCGGACCTTTTTTAGGGGTTGTTACCCTACACTAGAGAATTACCTTGGACAGCTACTATAAGCTGTTCAGTTTGGCTCGTCCAATTGTGTTGAAGCTTCCGCACTCGCTTCTTGGTGTTGGCAATTGTTGCGCTTGAATTATCCATTTTGCTAAAATTGTAAGCCATTAATTAAGTGGTTACTCAATTTTCATCCAAAAATTACCTTTTTCCACGTTAAATAAAGATTTTTTTTTGAATTCTGCTTGCTTGGCAGGTGACCTTAGCGGAACACACAACAGCAGGTTACTCCTCCTGGTTCCATATGATTTTATGCATTAGTAGTAGGGATGGGTAAATTCGATATTCGAAGCTTCGATACTCGAATTTTAGCTCCAAAATGGCGAATTTCTGAAATTGAACTTTGTGTTGCTAAAATTCGGATAAAATCGAATTTTTCCAGAAAAAATCGACCTTCATGTTTATTTCCAAAAAAATCAACTCTTCAACTTTCTTGTTTCTGACTAAATTTGCCATCACTGTCACTCAGGCATTTATTTTAACTATTTTTTTGAAAACTACTTAGGCCGAGACATATGACAACTTTAGTAGGCCATGAAATAAAAATACGAGCTAACTTTCGCAAATCCACCGAGTGTTTTACTACTGGATGGGTATACTTTCAGAAAATGTTAACAAAGTCCGGGCTGGTTTGGGCTGTCCTACAGTGTAATTTGAGTTTAACTTTTTAAACAGGTGGCCACTCTCTTCAAGCACCTCAAAAATATTGTAATTGTTGCATAGTATTTTAAGCACAATACTTCCTTAACTTCTTTAACTAAACCCCTCTTAAATGTAATTAAAAAATAAAGTTTATTCAAAATCATTTCGATTGATACCCATATTGGGGTAATTTATTTAACTTATTAAATAATCTGATTTCCCCCCTTATTCTAGAACCCGAATTTTCGTAATTCGTAATTCGTAGCTACGTTACAAAAAACGAAAAATCCACATGCGGCAACCCTTGCGGAAACATGTGCATCATTGCCAGCTACCAGTTGTTTTTCGAAGATAGCTGAATGAAAGAAAACAAAGTGGAAAGGAATTAAAAAAAACACTCATCATGTGCTTGTTTATTGCAAAATTGGTTAATTTTACATATTTTGAGGAAAATTATGGATTCTGATGTAGACATTTGCAATTATAGCAGCAGAGCAAGCGGGCGCTATGGCAATGGATTCACAAAGGTATGCGGAGCTATCGGGCATAGTAACCATGGGCGCATCTATGTCAGCTTCTGGTTGAAATGTTGAACCACAAGCCAGAACTCCTCCTTTGCCTGAAGCTCTGGTTCTCAATCCAGTTAATGCAATAACAGCTTCTTCCAAGCCATTGAAAATATGCACTTTTTAGGTCCACCACCTGTTGCGCTTGCTTTTGCCTTCGGCCGCGCTTAGGGACTATAATCTTACTAAGTAGAATTCTCCTTTCTGTGTTGCGGGGAAGAGGGGCTTCCTCATGTCAAAGGTATACAACATTTCTTGTGCATATCACTCCGGCTACAGTATTTTTGCGCAGAACCCACGTCGAAATTGCATAGTGCGAAAGTGCACAGTGCAAACCGAGTTTATTAATAAGCTAGTGGTAGGAAATTTGAAACATTTTTCTTAAATAAAATGTGAATCCTTTGGTTACACGTGTATGTTAAAGTTTTTGGATTCGGGTTATGCGTTTGAACACAACAACCGACAATCGTTGTACATTAACTAAACCGGACCCAAGTTTCTCGATTACGGGCAACAAATATTCTTTTTTGCTAGTTTATATAAAGCAGTGGATAAAAATATAAGTATATGCGAAAGGCAAATTTTCTGTTTAAATGAACACCACCAATATTTCTTGCAAACACACATCGATTTACATCGTTTATTTCGCCTCTGACACAGAATTGTTTTCGTACAAAATTACGCAAAAAAGCTTACTCGTTCGTTTTTAGGCATGCCATTGTTACGAATTTCGAAAGTTCGAAAATACGATTCGGATTGCAGCATAATATTTCTACGATTCGTAGCAAAATCCGAATACGAAAGAGTTGCAGAACACCCCTAAGATTTTCTTACATACATTCATAGGCACAAAGCTAAAACCATATTACACATCTACAGGGCAAGTCCTTTCATTTGACACCTACCTCCTTTTTGAAAATCGAATGAGCGATACAGATTTTATGACATGGTGTTAAATATTTAACGCAAACATATCCGAACTCGATTAAGAAGTTCCACTTCAAAAAAGTTTTGGAAAATTCGAAAAAATTCGAATTAAATCGAATTCGCACCAACAAATTTTGCATCGAATAATCGAATGTTTGGGCAGAGAACGTTTATAAATGAGAAGGCGCATTTTCTGTGTGAACTAATTGCTGCCAGAAATTTTGGGGTGCAGTCGGCCAAATATACCACTCGTCGACAAAGTGCACCACTCGACCGACGGTGTCGGCAGAGAAGTGTCGGCTGCCACCATACCAAAAATTTTTCCGTGCCACCACACTTCGAGCAAATTTACTGTAGTTCAAAGCAAAATGAAAAAATAAGAACGAAAAAGGAAAGAGGAACAGAAATATAATAAGCACTAGGCAGAGGGGATGCTTGCGGAGGCAGGCGCGTGCTTGTGTCGGATCAAAACAAATTCTAAAATAAAAATGGAAGTCAGAACGACAAGTGTACAGAAGAAGCGGGGAAACGGGGAAAGGAGCGGGTTTTTGTACATTTGCTTGCTTGCCGAAAATATGATATTTGCGTGAAATCGATTTGCTGATTGTTGCAAATTGATTTTTGCAAACATGTATGAATTTTTCTATTTCAGCTAAGTTGATAAGATTTTCT